CACACACACACACACACACACACACACACACACACACACACACACAGGTTTTAAGACACTTCTCAGGGAGTAGAAGGGCTCTTTCAAATTTTCATAATAGAAATACAAGGATGTCGAGTTTGTCTGCTGACTACAGTCAATTCCTCCTTCTTGTCAGAACACTCTTCCCCGTGTCTCCTTCTTTCTCCCCCCCAAACATCCCTCCAATTTCTCACAAAGCTAAGGCCTCTCTCTGGACAGCACTGCCATCATTACACAGGCTCTTTATTTTCCTTTAGTCGAGTCACCAGCAGCAGGAACTAAATAGCAAGCCTCAACTGTCAACGTTTGATCTATTGAACAGTGAACATTCTCACCGTAAAGCATACAAGATAGTTCATCTCAGAATGYACATCCTGTCTAAGGATATCTGTTCTCGGGGAAACACAGGTCCAGTTTGCCAACATACCACTCCTCAATAAAGCACTAAGAGATGCCCTCATAACATTCTGATCTGATGACTGCACAGACTGCCTGCTCACTTCGCTAACCATCTGATGATTACCTCTCCTCCTGCTGGAGGTGGGGTTTTTTTTTGTACCATCTCATTTATCGTGTTTTCCAGAGGCATGAGCTGCCATCATTTAGCCTTTAAAAACTGCAGTTTATAGTTGCATAGCACACTGCAGCGATACAGCCAGTGTCAATATGTGGGTTTAGCTTTTTAAATGAAGTGGTCATGCTCGCTAAAGTTGCCTTTAGATCGCCTGTGTCAATTTACTTGCTCAGAAAAAAAACTGAATTTCACAAATCAGAAGACATGCATTAGGCAGTCCCAGATGACTGAGTTTATTTTAGCAAATCAGCTCCATCTTTCTGTTACCAGGTGTAAGAAATAGGACTAGTTTGGACAAAAATAAGATGCTAATGATTCAACAAACTTTAGGTTTAGAGGGATTAAAAAAGATTGAAAACCCCAAATGGTTGGAGCACAAGTTGTCAGCAGGTACCAGAAGGTTTAAAAAAAAAGAAAAAAAAGACATGCTCAGGTTCACACACGTACGGACACAAGGGAGGCTTTGATGCAAAGTGGAAGCGTTGCAGGTAGAAGTAGGTGTTGATCCAGATTTGGCTGTGATCGATGTGTGGTAAGTTGGCAGAGGTTCGTTGGTCAGAAGAAGCAGTTAAGACTCACAGCTAAGAGTCGAACCACACAGGCGGGCGAGCGCGCATGGAGCAGAAACAGAAAAAAAAAACAAGTAAAATAAAAGCAAAGCCGCCAACATTAAATGAGGCTGAAGCAAAAGTCCCCAAAGAACGCGATCGACACAGAACGGCGAGGGCGACGTGGGCTGATGGGCCAAACACAAAGGAGTTGCACGTCAGTAATAATTACCCCAGAATAAATAACAGTCACAGAACGATCATTAGAAGCAGAATTGGAAATTAGCTGATCTAGCGGACTGATTTGACCCATGCATTATAAGGCAATAAGCAAACATCTGTTACTGACATCACATAGTATTTTAACAGTGACTATACATACAATTGCTGAACTGGGGAGGAAAAAAGAAGCCATTTACTTTCATCACAAATATATATATATATATATA